CACTTTGCGTTTCTGAGCCTCCTCTTTATCTTCGTCGGTGACGAGCTCACCCAGCTCATCCAAACCAAAGAGCCCTCCATCATCGAGGTCGAGGGTTTTGCCATCCAGAAAAGCTGCCAGATCCAGTCGCGGGCCTGAGTGGTTGTCCGTTGACTCAGGCTCCTTGGGGCCCACCGTCTTGGCGAGCTTTTGGACGGCCTGCTTGTAGACGCTGCGAGCAAAGTCCACTGTCTCCAAGCATGATTCGACCTGTTCTTGTGCGCAAAGGAACTGTTCCTCGAGCTTTTCGCAGTGTGTGATAGAGCGACGGAGGGCCGCTTCAGCTTGTTCGACCTTCTTCTTAGCATGGCCAACGCTGATGTTCTCAATTGCCTGCTGTTGGTTGAGTTTGTCCAGCTTCCCTTGGTACTTTGATGAAGTAGCCTCGTCCCCATTGGAGCGGAGCAGAGTGATGAGGTCCGCCAAACGTGCCTGCTCTGTCGATGCGCCCCTGGGGTCGGCCCATACAGAATCATCCAAGCTGAACCGCTGCGGCGAGGCGGTACCAGGTCGCGTGCCATCTGCGAAGGATACCGATGGGACACGTCGAGCCGCTCCTGGCCCTGGCGAGGTCCTAGTGTTGGCATCCACCATCGGTCCATCGCTGCGCACCCATGGTGCTCGCCGCTGCTGTGAGCCTCGATCGGGAGGCGTTCCAGGAGAACGACCAGGCCCACGAGGACGCATAGGGACAACAACATCTGTCGCAGGTAGCGGGGCCTTGCAATGCTTACACCACTTCCGCCAGCGCTTGTTACGCCCACATTCACATTGCTCGCATCTCGTCGCGGCTGGGCTCGCGAGCCGCTGACCTGCTCAGGATCGGACAGGCGTGCATGAACGCTGCATGGCTGCGGACGAAGCAAAAGGATACTCACGCCTGCAGGCGCCGTGTTGGAAACAGAAGCCACAAGGTGTCAACCTCGTGGTAGAATGAACAGAAAGAAAGAAGACACGCCCAGGCTTGGCAGCCACCTGGGGGCGTGTGCGCAGGCTGTCCTGGCCAGCTGCCTTGATAGATGTTTCACTTGAGCCAAAATGGCTACGGTCCTCCTTCTTCCCCTCCTCCTCCACCTCCTCCTCCTCCTCCTCCTCCTCCTCCTCCTCCCCCTCCTCCTCCTCATCCCGCTCCTCCCTCCTCCTCCTCATCCTCCTCCTTCTCCTCCTGCTCCTCGTCCTCCTCCTCAACCTCCTCATCCTCCTCCTCCTCCTCCTCCTCCATTCCTTGTCCTTATAAAGAACTTCCCCCTGTCGCACCCCGAGGCCAGTTTGTAAGGCGGGCCCGCCTAAGACTGTCTCACCATTTATGACTATGAAGCTTAAAAACGGCAACAGTTCCCCAATCAGAGCTTGCCTCTGTAGAGGTCCTAGCGGATTCATATAGTCAGGGTAGGTTTGCCGCCGATTTTCGCCGCACGCCCAGGTGACCGGGTGCCCGGGGGTGCCCGGGGGTGAGGTTGGCCGCCGATTTTCGCTGCACGCCCGGGTGCCCGGGGGGAGCCCGGGGGTGCCCAGGTGCCCGGGTGCCCAGGTGCCCTGGTGCCTGGGCGTGCTCGGGGGTGCCCTCTAGCCCTATAGCCCAATAGCCCTACAGCCCTACTCTATAGCCCTATAGGTCTATAGCCCTATAGCTCAATAGCCCTATGGCCCTATAGCCCCCTAGCCCTGATTGGGTTTTTTCTCCGGTATCATTTCAGAAATGGAAAGCGGGTGGCTTTGTAATTGTGGCTCTCCCCTTAGCGCCGCGCACATTCGTTTTCAAAAGTTATCAAAGTCTCACGGATTAAGGGCGGGTCGTTTTCAAAATGTGGCTCTCGCCTTAGCGCCGCGCACATTCGTTTTTTCTTAAAACAAATCGCAAGAGATTCACGGATTGAGGGCGGGTGGTTTGCACAATGTGGCTCTCGCCTCTACGCGCACATTCGTTTTCAAAAATTACAAAAGCTTCACGGATTTAGGGCGGGTGGTTTTCAATATGTGACTCTCGCCTCAACGCCGCGCACATTCGTTTCAAAAGTTACAAAAGCTTCACGGATTGAGGGCGGGTAGTTTTCAAAAATTGGCTCTCGCCGCGCACGTTTGTTTTAAACATTTGCAAGCGTTTCACGGATTCCAATGATCAACGTACCTGAAGTGGTACTTTGGAAGGATTCATGATTATGCGGGTGCAGCGGTCAGGTTGATCTGGCACGATTCCAGATCGTCAGGACGCAGCGGTCAGGTTGATCCATGGCGTGGAAATCCCGAGAACAATGTGTTGGCATGCTTCCAGGTCTTCAAACGGCTGTCTTCCAACGAGGCAGTTCCCTCAATGGAAACGAAACTTTGTAAAGCCTACGAAGAGGGACCTTGGAGGGAGGGTTAATTCCAACATCGTTGATGACCCTTGGGTTTACAGTGGTCCTCCTCCTCCCTCCTCCTCCTCCTCCCTCCGCCTCCTCCTCCTCCCTCCTCCTCCTCCTCCTCCTCCTCCTCCTCCCTTTTCTGTTTCTTCTCCTCCTCCTTTTCCTCCTCCTCCTCCTCCCCCTCATCCTTCTCCTCCTCCTCCTCCGCAAGGCACGACAGGTACTTCCCGAGTGCCTCCAGGGCGTTTTCCTCCCATAAGCCTGTCTCCCCTGAGACGCTGCCCATGACACCGGCCCGAACCCGAAGGATCCAGGAGGAAGAGGAGGAGGAGGAGGGGGGGGGAGGAGGAGGAGGAGGAGAAGGAGGAGGAGGAGGAGGAGGAGGAGGAGGAGGAGGAGGAGGAGGAGGAGGAGGAAGAAGAAGAGAGGAGGAGGAGGAGGAGGAGGAGGAGCAGGAGGAGGAGGGCCAGTACGCTGCGGCGCGCCGGTTCGTCGACCACGGCGGCTGGATGCCTCGACAGCCTCGCATGGTCACTGAGACCGGGCTCCGGACATGGAGGGGAGCCCGGCGGCGGGGGCAGCCGACCACCAAAGAATAATTACGGAGACGCTATCAACCACGTGGCAAGGACAGCGAACGGGCAACCCGTGACAATTACTGCCCGGGCGCCAGGGCGGAAATGTTGCTTAAGACCGGATTTATCCTTTGGCTCAAGGAGGAGGGGGAGGAGGTCCGCAACAAATCTGGGTTGCGACACTTCGGCCGCATTTCCCCAGGACAAGCTGGTTACGACAGAATTCGCCTATTCTGCTGCCGCGGAGGCGGGGGCGGAGGAGGAGGAGGAGGAGGGGGAGGAGGAGGGGGGGGATCTCTCGCCACGGGAGAGAAAGAGGAGAGGGAGTCAACAACGGTTCACTCCTGGCACGCGAATATCGCAGCTTGCAGCGCACGTTCTATAGCAGCGGCTGGCGGGCGCCTTTCGTCCTCCTTGACTTTGTTATACAACTGAAAAGCCAACACGAATCGTCGAATGGCAGCGCGACGAGCGAGCGGGCCAGAAGGAATGAGTGCCGAGGGCTCACCGCTGTATCGGGTCAGCGGGCGTCGGAACGGAGGGAGGAAAGAGGAGGCGGGAGAGGCAAGGGCAACTGAGACAGTGGCGGAAATCATCGAGGGTTTGTGGGCCAAGGCGCCCGAAGCGACATGATCTACCGCTCAAAACGTGCATCCAGCCTCGTGTCGTCCAGCCGCCGCACGCCGTCTTGAGAAAAGCCCAACGACAGGACGGACGCACCTTGATCAACTCCCCCCGAAGCTCTCCCCAAACCTCCCTCATCTCGGCAACCGTCCTGGGCGCTGCCCCGCCCTCCCATGCGCGGAGGCGGCGGTGGAGGATGTGGCAGCGGTCTGGGAAAGCGGCCGGCAGGAGTGAGCGCGCAATGGCGCGCTGGATTTGGGGCGTCCTGTCCGCAGCCGCTGCCACCTGGTGTTCACTCTGTGCCGCCTGCCGTGCGTGCTGGCGATCCCGTGCTCGGAATGGCGGCAAATCGGCGTGCCCTTTCCGCCGCCGCAGCCACGTGCTGGGCAAAAACCGTCGGAAATCCCCAAAAACGCGGTGACCAAGTCCCCCTCCCGAAGTCAGCGAGACAAGCATGCTCTTCCGCAGTGCCCTGTGCACGTTCAAAAGCCAGCCTCCAATCAGGGAGAGTGTGCAGCGCCATGCGGATGCGCGCCGAGGTGGCCATGACCTCTAGGGACGGAATGGCGCCACGTGGGAACCACGCGGCAAGACTCAGGAGCTCAGACCGTGCAAACGAGCTCGGAGGGAGTTTGAGGAGCGAGTGAAGGGCAAGGAATTCTGAACCCGCCATCCGTGGGAGAGGCACAAAGTGGGCCACATACGAGAGAGTCGACGCCGCATGGCTGGTGCACAAACGGACTGCGCTATCGGGCGGGGCGTTGGCCGTTGGAGTCTGATGGGAGCGGCTCCACCATTTCTGCCGCGGGCCGTGCCACTGTCGAGCGCGATCGGCGCCCTGACCCAGAAACAGCCCCAAGTAACGCGCGCACGAAGCAATCTGAAATCCCACTCCTCCCCAAGCCGCCGCAATCTTTCTGAGAGCCGAGCTGCGACGGGGGGCGTCGCAGGCGCATAGAGTGGTACGGCGATGCACTTGGACGCTTGAAGTGCGAGTCCCGCAAGGCGCCTTGCGGCGCAAAACGGCGCCGCCAGGCGGCTCAGAAATCTGACGTCGTAGCTGGCGATGCCCGCGTCGTCCGCGCATCCCCCGACATAGCCGTCGTCGCGCGACTGGAAGGCTGCGCAGAGCGATCGCAAGATAAGGTTCATCGACACCGCCCGCGCCACTCCAGAGGCAGGGCAAACTTGCGCCACGCCGGCCAACACAGGAAGAAATCGTCGACGCCCTGCGACGCGGATCCGTGGCCAATTTGGCTCAAGCCCCACGTCCTTCCTGGGGGATCTCGCGGGGTTTGGCCATCCGTGCCCATGTGCTCAAGCGCTTGGCCGATCGTGGCCTCTTCGTCACCGCGACAACCTTTCTTACTTCATTGCTTCTGCAGCTTTTCGGCCAATCCCTTCACCAGACGTCGCCATGGCTGCCTCGCCCCGTGACTCGTCGGATTCCGCGGGGGACGGGGGCAGCGCCGCAGCGGAGAGCGGCGCCGACGCGAGGGTCGAGGGCGCCGCCGCCAGCGCCGCGCGCGGGCTGCGGCTGAAGAGCAGGCGACGCGAGACGCCGCTGCCGTCGCTATGCTCGCGGCCATGGACGCAAGCGCACCTCGTGCTCGTGGCGCTGGTCGGCCTGCCGCAGATGGCGGCGTCGGCGAGGCGCGCGGTTCGCGAGACCCTCTCCAAGGGCGTCAAGACCCCTGGCGCCAGCACGCTGCTCAGGCCGCATCAGCAGCCCATGCTACCGCCGCAGTCGTGGCACCTTCTGCTGGTCAAGGTGGCGGTCTGTCTGCGCGTCTCCTTCTGGCTGGCGCTGGCGCTGGTCAGACAGTCATTGCGGCGATGGCCCCTGGCTTACAGTCGGAGATCCAGGGCCCGCTCCCGCGGCAGGTCCGTGACGCCACGGCAGCCTTCCAGAGGCAATCGACGCAGCTCCTGCAGCGGGCCCAGCAAGACTTCGCGTCACTTCTCCAGAACCAAGTCCAGCAGCTCAATCGGAGAAACGACGCCATTGCCACCGATGTCGCTGGACAGCGAGCACGCGCTGATGCGGCCGAGGCCCAGCAACGCCGCCCCGACAAGATGTCGATCGCCTCTCCGAGCTGGTGGGCATGGCCGAGCAGAAGGCAGGCCTCGTGGACATGGCGCGGCTGGCCGAATGGGACCGCGAGGTGGGGCCAACGTTGTTCTCGATTTCGCTCTCGGTTTCGCGCCCTCGCAATATTGCTACTGATGTTTGTTCAGCGGGCGCTGGCCAGCTGGATTGAAGCGGCCCAGATCTCCACTGACGTGGTCGAGCACGACGGCAACATTCCCGCCGAGCGCTTTCGGTTGCGGGCCAAGGGCGGGCCCTCCGTCGCCGTGCCCCGAGCCCCGGCGCTGGGCATGGCCCTCCGGGCGGGCTCCGAGCGGCGCTCCTTCGAGGCCTCCAACTTGGACCACGCCCCCGTTCGCCTCTACGTCAACCCCGACGAGACCGCACCCACGATCCGCATGGAGATCCACACGAGGGAGATGCAGCTTGCCCTCCAGAAGGTCGCGCCGCAGCACGCGCGGCGCGCGGCGCGGGCTCGCGGCGAGGCCCGCTCTGCGGGCGCACCTGTGGCGCGCTTGGGCATCCGAGGACAGGGCGACGACGCCGCAATCTAGTGGAACCACGCTGCCGCTGACCACGTGCAGCTGGACAAGGCAGCAGTCCTCCGCAAGTTCCGAGCATCCACTGTCTGTCGCGGCAGACGCGGTGGAGTGGCGTGTTTAGCGGCCGCTTTGCTCCTTGGAGGTCTGCCAGCTACCCCGCGAAAGCAATGGTGGTGAGCTGGAACGCCAATGGCCTCCTGTGCTATCGGCGCAAGCGGCGCCTCCGCATATTGCGGGTGCACTACGAGCACATGCGCCGCGGGGCCGGCGTGGTCATCCAGGAAGTGCACGGCTCCGAAGTGGCCCTCGAACAGTGGTTCGCTGCCCAACCCTTTGAATATGACTCCTTCGCGTCGTTCCTGTCGACTCGAGCCGGCGGGGTGGCTACGGTGCGGCCTCGATGCTTGCACGCAAGTCAGCGTGTCCAGCCACGCCATGTCTCACTCGCTCGTGGTCGCGCCATGCTCCACGACTTCAGCCATCAGGACTCCCACTACCAGGTCCGGGTGCTCAACGTGCACAGCTACGAGCTGCCAGAGCGGGCTCGGCAGGACATCGAGAAATGCTGACGCCAGGCTGTGGCGTGGGCTTCCCAGGACCACCATCACCAGCTCTCCATCGCAAACGGGGGTTTCAATATTGGCGAGACGGCCCCACAGAGTTACGAACACCCAAATCCGCGTCATGCCACGCTGTGCCCTCGCGCAGCCCACAATGCCCACGCGGCCTCGTGGCAGCCCCGGTTCGACATAACGCTGGAGGTTACGATGGAAACCCCTACCCACTACGATCGCCAGCGCTACTCGCAACTCCCTGGGTTGACTTGTCCTCAGCCTCCCCACGAACGACTTCGCGCAGCTCGACGTGCAGGCGGAGGTTCTTCAAGATGTGGCACGGATGTCAGACTCTCGATTGAGTGGTCACGCGGTGGTTCGCCTCAGTTTGGGCTTCCAGTCGGGGCTATCACCGGCTGACCGCTCTCTCCATGCTTACATTTGTAAGGGCCCCCTTTTTTGGGCGCCAAGCTTGGACAGCTATTGGGCCAGTCGCACCTGGACTACCTGTCCGCGGTGGAACGCTGGCAAAACTACAATCAACTTATGCGGTTGGCGGCGCAATTCGCCCGTGATCACTCGCAGCGGCTCCCCGGCGACGATCCTTCTCCGTTGGCCAAGCAGGGGCGTCTGGTCACGCTCGGGGCCACTGCGCGGGCGTGCTGGGGACAAGACACCCCGGGCTGCGCACCTCGTGCAGACTTCCACCGACCTGGGAGCTGTGCACATCGACGCGGTGGAAAATGGGTGTGTGTAGGGGGGCGGCCGAGGGGCCGTTCCTATACGGGGTCCGTAGGTAAGAGGCGAGGAGTAGGACTGTTTTTTTTCCGGGGCACTGCGCAGGGGGCAGCGCTCTGTCAGTACTCATGCCAATACCTGAGCCGATATAGTTGCAGTATCTGATGATGTAATGGAAATGTGAGCGGACTTCACACACAGACGGCGCAAAGGTGCTCACTGACCCTCAGCAGTCTGCTCGTGTCGCCCGCGACGCCAACGAGGTGGAGCAGGCACGCCTTCGGGAGGACGCCGCGCGCCGAGCCCGCGAAGCGCTGGCCGAAAAGATAGTCCCCATACTTTTGTTTTGTAAAAAAAAACGAATACTCCTCCTGTAGAGGGACAGGCCCGACTTAACCCCAAGATGCGGAAGGACTGCGACGAGCTGCGCGAGCAGCGGCCCGATGAGCTCAGGCTTGGGCCGGTTTTCAACGCAGGAGTGTCCTTGCAGGCGTCCGCGTCGACGACGCCGAGGTCCGGGGCGAGGGCCGCCACCGACAGCCAGGCCGTGTTCGACGCCATCAAGAGAGCCCACTTTGGGGCCCCGTCTTCGTGAAGCCGTCAGCGCCCGAGGAGGGGATCGCGGCCTACATCGACCAGCGCATGCCTTCCGGCGACGTCTTGGACTTGGCGGACCCCTCTGAGGCGGAGGTCAAGGCCGATCACAGCCAGGGCCAGATGGTTTCACCCATGTTCGCTGCAAGTCCTCATGGACCTGCAATCGCATTTGTACTCAGGCGGATGCGTCCCGTTCCACCTCAACGAGGCCGACGTGGCGTGCATTCCCAAGGGAGAGTTCGAGGAAGACATCGTCGCGGCGCACCGTAAGCCCGACGCCCTGCACCCTCATGCTCAAGAACACCGACATCAAGGCTCTCGCCAGCGCGATGGCGTACAAGCTGCGCGGCCCAGTGCAGGAGAGGGTGCACGAATCGCAGAAGGGCTTCGTGCACGGCCGGAACTTCTGCAGCCAGGTGGTGGCCCTGGACGCGAGCGCGGCGAGCGGGCCTGCTGCCGAGCGCCGGGGAGCGGATGCCGCTCTTCACGAGCTATGCCTTCGCCGCCGCCTTCCCCAGCTGGTCCCGGCTCTGGCTCACGCGCGCTCTCCGACGTGTTGGCAATCTGATTGGATACATTTGGATGTTCAGCGCCTTGGAGGAGGAGGAGGAGGAGGAGGAGGAGGAGAAGGAGGAGGTGGAGCAGGAGGAGAAGGAAGGAGGAGAAGGGAGGGAGGAGGAGGAGGAGGAGGAGGAGGAGGAGGAGGAGGAGGAGGAGAGGAGGAGGAGAGGAGGAGGAGGGAGAGGAGGAGGAGGAGGAGGAGGAGGAGGAGGAGGAGGAGGAGGAGGAGGAGGAGGGGGGAGGAGGAGGGGAGGAGGAGGAGGAGGAGGAGGAGGAGGAGAGAGGAGGAAGGAGGAGGAGGAAGGAGGAGGAGGAAGGAGGAGGAGGCGGACGGAGCGCCCTTTCTGAGCGGCCTTGGGTCCGCTCGGCCTGCCGCGGCGGGCGCCGGGGGCGCTGTGTACAGAAGGCGCGCGGGCGCCGCTTGCCCGGCTGGCCGGCGAGGCTGGCCGGCCAGGGCGCCGGGACGTTCTCGTCTTGCCAGCCTGGAACCCAGACCCCCTCGAGTAACGAAAAAATCATGACGGGATGTTTTTCTTCATTTTCGGCCTCTGGGGGCCCTCGCCGGGCCTCGGGAGCGTCGAAAAACGGCTCGGGGTGCAAAACCGGTCCCGGGGAATGGGTCCAGACCTCTGGGGGTCGCGTCATGAAAAAATCATGACGCCGGGGGTCTGGGAACATATCCCTAGCCCTGTGTTGGGCATCGCCTCATCACGATGGCGAACTTAGGGGTTCCCTCCGTTTCTGGGGGTGCATCCCTAAGGTTGTCATCGCCTTCTGGCGTGTCAGTCTCAGGGGTAGGGATAAGTTCGAGGCTGGTGGCCGTCGCCCGGCTCCTCTGGCGTGAACTCGACAGGGGGGATATCCGAAAGTAGTAGAAAAATAGTCTGGGGACGATGTTTCGACCATGTTTGGCCAGTTCGGGGTATGTGTTGCATATGTCATATTTTCCTTTGGAAATCTGGCTGTAAGGGGGCATGCCCGACTTAACTCTGGCGCAGGTGGGTCCGCGGGAAGAGGTGCAACAGCGGCTGCGGCAGCGGTTGCCATCGTCGGTGCCTGGATGCACGAGCCTGCGCGCTGGATGCAGCAGTTGCGCATGGATGCGGCCGCGCACCTTTTTTTTCCCCCCCACTTCAACCAGCTCAGCGTCACCTCTGGTGAACGACGGTGGGTCGTTTAGACGCATGCGAGAGTACCTGTTTTCGCATGCGAGAGCTGCTGCCCGTGCAGAAGTTGCTTCGTCCCCCCCCCCCAAGAACTGTTGCGCACTCTTGCACGCGAGAGGACACACTGAATGGACGATTCCACCTCTCACCGCCGACCCATCTGCGCCGGACCCACCGCTCTCCCCCGCCCCCGTCTCGTCGTGAGAAATCACAACAAGCGGCTTTCGCCAGATGTCGGCGTCCAGGGGCCCTTTACCAAGCCCTGGGATCGTCAAACAACGGCTCGAGATGAGAAACTGGCCCTGGGGAAAGAGTCCAGACCTCCGGGGGAGACGGGTCCACCACGGAGCTGTTGGCCATCCAGCTTATCCCAGTCGTCTTGGATGTGCTGTCGCCGGACATCCCCGCTTTCCACGGAAGGGCGAAGATGACATCGCACTTCGTCGTCGAGGTCAGGTAATTACCTCTCGCTGGCGGTTTCCGTGGCCGTCTGGGGCGCGCAGATTGTGGTCCCTGGGGGGTCCTGGGGCCTCTTGAATGTCCTGAGACCCCTCTGAGATTCCCAGGGG